CCCCCCCCCCACTTTCCAGATGCCAGCAGATAATGCCAGGATCTTATCAGGAAGAGTGGATGTGAAGGGCACTGGCCACTTCCCTGAGGGGGTTAGGATGCTGGTGGGCTCTGTGTGGCATGGAAGGGAAAAGGACATCAGGACAGTGAGGGTCTCATCCAAACACTGCACCTGTCCTCACCCCATCCTCCTCTATTCCTCATTAACATCAGCATCCACCCCGGAAGCACCCCAAGCTCCTGGAGGGGAGAGGTCCTTTTATGGAGACAGGGGCTGCTCCCACCTCCAGGGACCTGATCTGGCTTCTCCTGGAGAATGAGGTGTTCCAGAGCAGAGCTGAGACACCCTGAGGCCTCCTCCGGAGTTCCTCTAACCCTCCAGGGTCATGTCCAGCCTCAGTGCCCCAGACACACGGAAACTAGTCCGGTCTACAAATGAGGCTCTGGCTGTCCTCCAGGGGGAGGTGACAGAACCCCGGCGGGTTGACTGGTCATCGTGGCTGACCTGCTTCCAGAGGGCCTTCTCCTGTCTCCCCCGGAGGACCCAGCAGCACACGGCCCCAGGCTGCCTCGGGCCCCTGCCCCGCGGTACCTTCATGGCCATCAGCTCCTGCATCAGCACCGCGTTCTCCAGATCCAGCCGCTGGCTGTCCCCCCGGGGCTTCACGTCGTAGCTGAGGGGGTCAATGTGGATGCTCTCCAGCTCCAGCATGGTCAGCTTGACCGCGGCTCTGTCATTCCGGAGCTGCTGGATGTAGTCCTTCAGCCTCTGCTCGTCTTCCTTAGTGAACTCCGTGTCGCAGCTACTGGCCGTGGAGCTAGTTGTGCTGAGGAGACAGAGCAAACCTCTCACGGTTTCCAGCCACTGAGAACGGGTCCTGTTCTGGACTCCTTTCCACACCCCATCTCTTCAACGGCCTTCCATGGTAACCCCCACCCCGCGCACCTCCCCAAAAAGCATTCTTTGTGCCATTGGGTCATTGATATTACCTTTTAGGAGAGAAATCAGTCTGAAGAATAACAGGAATACCTACCCCTTTTAACACAACATGCGGACCCTAAGAAGGAATTCTAAGGAAATAATCCCACAGAAGCAACAAGATACAAAGACATTGTGTGGCATAGAGGACGTAGTTAATTATGGTACATTCCAAAAGTTGCATGGACATTTCAGTAGTAATTATGACACGGTGGAAATATTTTAAGTGGAGAAATAGGATAAAAGTAGTATTTGATTAAAAAATAACCATACATGTGGGCCGGACTTAAGAAAAAAAGGATATGTTTAGGAACAAAGTTGAAGAACAAAATACCTATGGTGTGATGTATAGATCCATGCGTGTGTATGTATTCACTCGTGTAAACACACGTCTAGGACTGCAGCAGCAGTCTCCTTGGGGTAGGAGCTGGAAGGTGTGGTGGAAAAGGGGGAGTGGGATACCATGAAAGAAACCCCCATGTGTATTGCTACTATGACAACTCAGAAAGCAGGAGCCCCTCCCCACCCACCACACCCCGCCGCCAACCACACCATTCCTCCTGGCTCACGGCTGAGTATACTGTCCACCAGAGGGACCCAGGTCCAACCACGGGGCCCTGGAAGCCGTGCTGAATGGTGACGGCTGCCAGACCTGAGAAGCAGTTAGGATGAACCCTGAGAACACAGCGGCCTCTGAAGGATTCTGTGTCACCCAGGCTACCACGCGAAGGTGAGCACCACAGGAAAACTGAGGTTCGGGCTCTTAAGAGGGCACTGACTTTTTCTGGCAGTGGACAGGCTGTCCCCACCGGCTCAGAATGAGGCCCTCTGCACCCTGTCAGTCTTCAAACATTAGAGTCCAGTGTGGATCTACAGTTTTTCTGGACCTACGCTGGTCCCGCCAAAACATGACATAGCCCTCATGGCTCTGGCCTTGGAAAGACCTTAAAATACAAGCTGGGGCCCACTGAACTCTCATCAAAACAGGCCAGGTTGGCATGATCATCTCTGTCACTACAGATTTGGTGACTGAGGCTCTGAGATGTTAGGTGGCTTGCCTGGTCATGAGGCTGGACACTGGTATACTTGGACTTGGGCCAGTGACTTCTCATTCCTCAGGCCCATCCTCCCAAGACTCCTCTTGCTAGAAGCTATGCCAGGAGCGAGGAGTGGTCTCCACAGCCTGCTGGCTGCTGGAGGCCCAGGCCTGCCCTCCTCACCTCACCCTGGAACCCTAACAGGCCCAGGACCCCAACTCAGCAGATGCAATGGCCCCATAACCTAGGTGTGACTGGGGACCATTCCATTCTTATGTGCGACACATTATCTAGAAGATGGGGCTTCTAGATAAGGGCTTCTAGATGGGGCTTCTAGAGACAAGGGTGAGGAGAAGGGATGAGCTGGAGCCCTGCTATGCAGCTGCCCGTGCACGGGAAGAAGCCAGCATCCTGGGGCTTGGGTGATCTTTGAGTCAGAAAACTCCCACTAGAACTGCAAGTTCTCTGAGCACCACAGACCCTTTGGGGTCACCTTCCCACCCCACCCTCTTCATCCCAGGGAGGAATACCTCCTTACAGGTTCTGATGATTCATTTCATGCGGCAATAGGGCTAGTCTATAGTGCCCAGGTACGTGGCTGACCACCCATCTAGATGTCACTGCGAAGGTATTTTTTAAAAAGATGTATTTAACATTTATTTATTTAAGAGAGTGTGAGTGAGCGAGCACGGGAGGAGAGGGAAAGAGGGAAAGAGAGAGAGAAACTCTAGCAGTCTCCCTGCTGAGCAAGGAGCCTGACACAGGGCTTGATCCCATGACTCTGAGATCATGGCCAAGGCCAAAATCAAGAGTCAGATGCTCAAGCGACTGAGCCACCCAGGCACCCCGAGATGTAACATTTAAATTGTTCGCTCAGTAAAGCAAACTACCTTCCATGATGTAGGTGGGTTTCGTCCAATCAGTTGAAAGCCTTAAGAGAAAAGACTTAGGTCCCCCAAGAAAGAAATTCTGCCTCTGGACAGCCTTCAGATTCAAGACTGCTACATCAAGACTTCCTTGGGTCTTGGGGGCGCCTGGGTGGCTCAGTGGGTTAAGCTGCTGCCTTCGGCTCAGGTCATGATCTCAGGGTCCTGGGATCGAGTCCCACATCGGGCTCTCTGCTCAGCAGGGAGCCTGCTTCTCTCTCTCTCTCTCTCTCTCTGCCTGCCTCTCTGTCTACTTGTGATCTCTCTCTGTCAAATAAATAAATAAAATCTTTAAAAAAAAAAAAAGGCTTCCTTGGGTCTCTAGTCAGTGTGCCTGCCCTGTAGATTTAGGACTTGCCAGTCCCCATAATTGTGTCAGCCAATTCCTTAAAATTAATCACTCTTTTTCCATATATACATACGGCGACCTCTACCCCCATTGGTCCTGTTTCTCCGGAGAACCCTAATACAGAGGTGTTACCTTGACCTGTAACCCAAGCACCTTTGCCACCTGGTAGATTTACAGGAAGCATGATTCAACCTCCCTGGGCCTACTTCCTCATCTGTAAAATGAAGTCGGAATGTAAAGGGTTTAGAACAGTGCCTAGCACGCAGTAAGCACTCAAGAAATAAATGTAGCTATCATTCGTTTAAGTGATACTGGAGGGCCACTGTGAGGTACTCTCCTAGGCCCTAGAAAAAACTCTGCTATCACAGAACTCATATTCTAGCAGGGGAGACAAACAAGTAAAATACAGAGTACATCAGACAGTGAGAAGTACCACAGAGAAAAATGAAGCAATTATGGGGAGCACAAAGAGAAGATGAGCTTAGTCTGTGCAACAGAGTTGTAGGGAGGACCTGCATGAAAAGTTATATAAAGTAGACCTACGGATAGAGTAGACTCACAGGACATGAAAAAGGGAGCTGTGTGGATATTTAGAGGAAGAGCGATCCAGGCAGAGGACACAGCGAATGCAAAGGCCCTGAGGCAGTGAGTGTGGCTGAGCTGGAGTCAGTTAAGGGAGAGGAAGGAGGAGAGCTGGTCAGAGAGGAGGGTGTGTGTTGGGGGGGGGGATGGGTAACGGCAGGGTGCCAGGTCCTGTCAGGTTTTATAAGGGTTGACTTTCCCTCTAGAATTAGAACGGAAGCCATTGGAGGGTTTGTGACAGAGGCGTGACGTGATCTGCCTTTCATCTTAATAGGATCCCTCTGGCCTCTGAGCTGAGGAGAGATACAGGGAGGCAAGAGCAGAGGCAGGGGGACCCATCCTGGGCTCTTGCGACAATCTCAGGAAGAGATGGCGGAAGCTGGGCGGCAGGAAGGAGGATACAGTTATTATGATCAGTCACCGTTCCTGTGGTTTCTCAAGCTGCATTTTCAAAAGGACGAGAAGGGAGAAGCAGCAGCACCGTCTGGCTGGAGCATTTCAGGTGGCAATTTCATAAAGAAACAAGCTGCTCAAGAGAAGCAAATGAGCTAACCCCAGCAGAGGGCACCAGGGAGGTCGGTGGGACTTGGGAACTAGGGGGACTTCTCCTAGGGGGTGCTCAGGGTCCCTCCCTCAGCAGCTACCCTGCTCTGCAGTAAAGCAGGCCACCCCCAGCCATGGGGGAAGGCCTGCCTGGAACAAAACCATTCAATTAGGACTCAGCGCTCACCTTCATGGACTGTCAACACAGACCTGGAGGGACAGACATCTAAAACGTCCAGCAGAAGAACGACAATGAAACGAGAGCGGACTGTGGCGGGGGCCGTGTCCACAGTGCCTTCCACAGGGCCGAGCCTGGAGCTGTGCTTAGGGGCGCGGCAGGTCTGGACAGCGTGCACTGGGCAACAGCAGCACCTCCCTTCCAGGGACCTGCCAGGAGGCTTCAGGAACGAAATTGATTCCCGGGGAGCTGGGACTCTGGGCTGGAGGTTCCCTTTACAATCCTCGTCCTTCCTTACGTTAAAAATTACTACGTCAAGACGACCATGGAGATGAACCAATACCCATGTACCTACCACTCAGATGAGTTTTTTGACATATTTTCTTTCTTTTTTTTTTTTAAGAAATAGAACACTTATACTCCAATACGCTTTGTTCTCTTTCACTTAAAGAAATTTAAAAATCTGAAGGGCACTAGAAGCTTAGAGTTCTGTAATTATCTTGCAGGCACTAAATTGATACTATTTGGGCAGACTTTCCACTCGACAGGGCTGGTGTGCCCAGTGGCGGCCAGAGTCACTGCTGGGTTAGCTGTGTAGCTTGTTAGGAATGCACGCTCCAGCCCCCACCCCCACCCCAAGATCTCTAGAGGGGGAACTCTGGGAGTGGGCCCAGCAATCTGCATTCTAACGTACCCTCCCCATCTCCTGAGGCACAGCCAGGTTTGGGAACGACTGGTCTACCCCATAAGACAGGCGGGCATTTGCACAGTAGCCTGTCGAGTAACTGGGCTGCCCTCCCCCAGAAAATCTCTAGGGGGAGGCCATACTCTCTTGGGCTGATCTGGCAGGTGCCAGTGGTAATTAGCAGATCTCTGACATCAGATAGACCTGAGCATATGTTCTTCCTCTGCCTCTGCCTGGCTTTATGGTCCAGAGGAAATGACCCAATATTCCCAGGCTGCAGTAAATGGGAATACAAGTAAGTCCCCCATCACCAGACTGTTGGAAGGGAACAATGGGTCCTGAAGCAGGCAGGGCCGGCCAGTGCAGCACTCCTTCTGGGGAAGTTGGAGAAACAGCTGTGCCCACCTCCAGGACCTCCCTGCACAGACTCAGGGGCTCCCTAGCAAGGATGAGAGCCAACTAGCAAGTCATGCAGAATACCGAGGCTGAGGGAGAAGCAATGCAGCAAGTGCTGGACGGGACTACAGAAACCACCTAGAATGTTCAAG